TCTTGGTATGTCTTGGATACAAGTCCTTTATCAGATAAATATTTTGCAAATGTTTTCTCCCAATCTGTGGCCTGTCTATTCTTTCTCTTAACAGTGTCTTTCACAGAGATGGAGTTTTTAATTTCGATGAAGTCCACCTTACCAATTTTTTCTTTTATGGATCGTGCTTTTGGTATTGTATCTAAAAACTCATTGGCAAACCTAAGGTCACCAGATTTTCTCCTATGTTATCTTCTAGAAGTTGTATAGTTTTGTGTTTAATATTTAGGTCTGTGATCCACTTTGAGTTAACTTTTTATGAAAAGTGTAAGATCTGTGTCTAGATTAATTTTTTTTTTGCATGTGGATGTCTTGTTCCGTCAGCATTTGTTGAAAAGATTATCCTTTCTCCATTGAATTGCCTGTGCTCTTTTTCAAAGATCAGTTGGCTATATTTCTTTGTTTTTATTCCCCCTGGGCTCTCTATTCTTTTCCATTTGTTTATTCTTTTGTCAATACTACCCTCTTTTGATCACTTTGGATTTGTAGTAAATTTTGAAGTTGAGTAGTGTCAGTCCGCTGACTTTGTTCTTCAATATTTTATTGATTCTTTTGAGAGTTTTGCCTTTCCATATATACTTTAGAATTAGTTTGTCAATATCAACAAAATAACATGTTGGAATTTTGGTTAGGATTGAATCTATCGAGCCTGTTGGAAAGAACTGACATCTTGATAGTAGTAGTATTAAGTCTCCCAATCCAGGAATGTGGATGATCTCTCCATTTATATAGATTTTTCTTTACTTTTTTTCCATCACAGTTTTGTCGTTTCCTCATATAGATCTTACATATTTTGATTTATACCTTAGTATTTCATTTTTTGGTGCTAATACTGTAAATGATACTGTGTTTTTAATTGCAAATTCCACTTGTTTATTGCTGGTTTATAGGATAGCAATTGACTTTTATATAGTAACCTTGTAGGAGCTCTGGTAGCATAGTGTCTAAGACACTTGACTGCTAACCAGAAGGCTGGCAGTTCAAACCCACCAGCCACTCCTTGGAAGGAAGGTTGGGCAATCTACTTCTGTAATGATACCACCTCGGAAACCCAAGGAGGGGTCGTTATGAGTTGGGTCCAACTTGACAGCACATAACAACAATAACACAACAGTAACCTTGTGTCCTGCACCCTTGCTATAACTGCTTATTAGTTTCAGGAGTTTTCTGGTAGATTGGGATTTTCTATGGGATATTCCATACCCTCTGCAACTGGAGATAGCTTTATTTCTTCTTCCCCAATCTGTTATACCAGATATAAGTCCCACTTGGTCATGGTGTATACTTATTTTTATCCTTGGCTTGTATTCAGTTAACTAATATTTTGTTGAAGATTGTTAACGTGTTCATGAGAGATATTGCTGTGTACTTTTCCTTTCTTTTAATACCTTTGTACAGTTTTAGTATTAGGGTAATGCAGACCTCACAGAATGCTTTTGGAAGTTTTCCTTCTGCTGCTGTTTTTCTGGAAGAGATTGTAGGAAATGATATAATTTCTTCTTTAACTGTTTCCTACAGTTCCCCAGTGAAATTGGTGCTTTTTGTCTCAGAAGATTATTAGTTGTTGCTTCAATTTCTTTAATAAATATTGGTGTATTTAGATTATCTATCTTATATGAGTTTTGATAGATTGTGTCTATCAAGGAATTGGTCTATTTGTGGCCATAGATAATTAATATTATCATAATATTCCT